CTCACTCAACCTTGTATAATGGGCATAATTTCCCTATTCTTATATGAAAACAACTGAAGGACTTGAGACCTGAGGAATTTCTTCTGTGACTTGGCATGTACTTGCCCCTGTTGCCATGCTCCCTTACTCTCCCAACCAGCCCCCACCTGTGTAGGACTTCAGCCCCTAACTGTTTCTCTCTACTCTTATGTCCCATTGGGGGGACATAGATGGGCCCACACAGGTGCCTTCACATGCAGTGGGTTGTGTTACAGAAAAGGAATATCTCTTATAATTACACTACAGGAACTTAGGAAACCTGAATCTTTATCATGTGTAGTAGCAAATCTACCCTTTTCTTTAGAGGAAGATGTCTTTACTGTCTTAGACAATAAGCAGGCCTATCTTCCCTCACTCTGAAGGAAAACAATATCTCTATGTCCAAAACTGTATGTAAGCCTGCCCTATGCTTTGGAGGGAGATGCCATTTAGTAAATGATATTTTTCTTAAAAAAGCTGATCTGTATGGGTTTAAGAGTCTGGGTGAGGGTCTGTAGGAAGCTGTCAGCAGAGAGAGGCTGAACATTTGACAATCATCAAAAGGATGGAATTGAAGAATAAATGAGCACAAAGCATTATACAACTAGAAAGCTTTCACCATCCCCATGGTAAATTCTGAGTAGCACCTAAGATATTACAGGCATATTCTGCAGACCTCATCTCTGGTTAACATTTTCTTGATAGAAAACCTCTTGTTTTTAATTAATCAAACTCCATAGTATGTGTATATTCCTCAGTGAAACACTTATCAGCCAAAGTTCATACAAGAAAATTTTACACATGCATTTCCAAATCTCCACATAAATCTTTTAGTAAAATTACAAGTGGGATAAGCCCCAATTTACATTTCAAACACAATTGATAAAATATCAGAGTCACATGTTCTTTGAAGAGAATACTAAGTGTGAATAAAGGGGCCAGACGTTGCTGGTGCAAAGAGAGGCATCATTGGGTCATGGCACCTCATACAAATAAAAAACGGTTCAAACTCATTAGTTGTCTGCCAATCAGGAAGTCAAGATTTTTGTGTTTTTTGTTTTTTTTTTTTTAATCTTTGTTGATTTCAGAGAGAGGAAAGGAGAGGAAGAGAGAGAGACAGAAACATCAATGATGAGAGAGTCATTGATCGAGCCCACAACCCAGGTATGTGCCCTGACCGGGAATCGAACCCCGATCCCCTGGATCCTAGGCCGAAGCTCAACTGCTGAGCCACGCCCGACCGGGCAGGAAGTCAAGTTTTAAAAAGTGTTTCATTTGAACATGATAGTTTCCCACTTACATATGGATGTTGATGTATTATAGAGAATTGATAGTGAGGTTGGAGTGGACACCTACTTTATTGTATTTTTAAAATTTTAAAATAATGAGCTATAAGCTCACAGGTAGAATTTTTATACTGAAGCAAGATTTTCAACTGAATTCTTACAGTTGGATTCAATTGGAAGAATTCTTATTTATTGTTATTATTATCCTCACCTGATACCATCAGATTCTACATAGGTAAGTACTGGTCATTTTCATGAGTTTGGGAGAAAAGCAAAAATCAGGAGATGAAATGGGCTGCCAGTAGGAGGAATGTTCTGTCTACTCTTTTCTGCTCCTCTCTTCCAGGAATCTCTCCCCTTATATCTTCATTATTTTCAGGCGATTTTCTTCATATCCTTCTGGACAACAGCCTCTATGAAAAGGTTCTTGTTCTCAAGCCCTCTGCTTCTCAAGTATGTAGGAACTGGGCACCTGAGAGTACCTAGAAAATTATGACTCCACCTTTGCCTGAAGGAAAGTTGGCACTGACTGCGGGGAGGGTAGCTCATGTAGGGCCATGCCAGCCTGTGCCTGAAAGAGCCTCGTTCCACACTGGGCGTCTCTCTGAGCTCCTATCACCCGTGTTCTCTCTCAGTGTCCTGTTTGCTCTGCTCACTCGCTCGGCTTTGATTTGGGCTCTGCCCCCTCTCTCAGGTCCTGTTATGACAACACTTCCCCATGTGCTCTGACAAAAGCACTCAAGCTGGACAGGGAGTTGGGGAATGAAAAAGGTGGTACTTTATTGCCTCCTCCCACATGTACATTTTATAATTTAGCAAATGTGAAACATTGCAGTGTAATTTATAATGGTTAATATTCAATTCAACAGTTGTAACTCAATTTATTAAACTTATGTGCTTTGCCAAATGTTTATTATTTTCATTTTAGAAAAGATAGGAATACCTTTTATTTTTTTAATCTTCACCCGAGGATATGTTTATTGATTTTTAGAGAGAGGAAGGGAGAGAGAGAAACATCATTTGGTTGCCTCCAGTAAGCCCCGGACCAGGGATCCAACTTGCAGCCTGGTTATGTGCCCTGATGGGGATTTGAACCCTTGACATTTCGGTGTTCGGGATGACGCTCCAACCAACTGAGCCACATCGGCCATGGCATAAAAATTATTTTAAATAAATGATTTAAAGTGTTCATGATTGTTTGCAATGATGTTTCACATTGTTTTCATTTTAAGAGAGTCAGAAAGTACTTCTTTAGGGGAAAACGACTGGCAGCAAAAAACTGGTCATGACTTTTCAGCATTTTAAGAAGTTACTGAGCAGCCAGTTGATTTATAGATGCAAGATATGGACACTAAGTGGCCTTGAAGTAGTTCCAGGTAAATTAAATATCATAATGTCTGACACATCCTTGGGAGAACAGTGATGAGAAAAACCATGGCATATTCACTTAATTATCTGGGCAAAGGTAAACTACAAAGGAGCATCCACAATGCAAGTAGGCAAACAGAACTTAAAAGATCCAACCAAAGGTACAAGAAAAAGTGGAAGACTGATATTTTATGATGTCAGATGTCAAACTAACTATAAGAAAGTGACTGATTCTTGACTTGAAGTCTGCCAAATTTGGGATGGCCCTCCACTCAGGGGATGCCTGTAATTTTATTCTTCCAATGGTAGTAATATGGTAATTGCTGATTTCCATTTTTCAATCCATCGTTTAATTCCAGTTGATTGTCATGTCAAGTTTTATATTCAGTAGCACCCCCTTCCTTATTCACGGTTTCTCCTTCTAAGATTTCAGTTACCCAGGGTCAACTGCAGTCTGAAAATATTAAATACAAAATTTCAGAAATAAGTAGTTCATAACGTTTAAGTCTCAGGCCATACTGAATAGTGTGATGAAATCTCATGCCATCCCACTCCACCCAGCCCAGGATGCAAAGTGCCCCATTGGCCAGGGCACCCAGGCTGCATGTTCTACCCACCCCTTAGTCACTTAGTAGACATCAGATCCACTTTCTCAATATCTCAGTGCTTGTGTTGAAGTAAGCCTTATTTTACCTAACAGTCACATTTATGTAACTTTTACCACAGTATATTTTTATAATTGTTCTATTTTATTATTAGTTGTTGTTAATCTCTTACTGTGCCTAGTTTATAAATTAAACTTTGCAATAGGCATAATTGTAGTATCCATAGAGTTTGGTACTATCTACAATTTCAGGCATTCTCTGGGGAACTTGGAACATACCCCTGTGGATAAATGGGGACAACTGTACTTCTAAGTCTCAATCTGAATGTGTGTGTGATAATATTCCTTGGATACCTACCCAGTTTCAATATTCTCTTAATAGCACCCAGATGTGCCACTAAGAAAAGCCACTCCCTTTGTCCTTCTAAGGGTAAACCTTCCTAAGGTTTAGTTGATAATGATTACGCTCCAAGATCCTAGAAAGTTTATAACTCATGTGATTCAACCAAGATAGTATGTACTCTTTGCTCCAATAATGGTTCTAAGATGTGCAGTAATTCGGGCTTTAAGCACTAGGCCATGACACTCCCCTGACCATCGTGATTTGCTCAGATTCCATAGCAGGGAACTCTACAGGTATATATTTTTGTCCACAATAGAAACATGTGGGTAAGGAGGGGCAATGCTAAGGTAGAAAATACAATAGTGGCCTTGAAATATACAAATACATAAAAAGTCTGTGGCTTGCCTTCATTCAGGTATGAGAAATTGTTTTCAAAACATTATTTTTTTAACTTTCAAAAAAATTATTTTTATTGCACTTTATATTCAATTATTTTTTTATTCAAAAATTATCAATAGAAATTCTGCCAGACATTGAAGTCATCCCAATTCCAACCTAATTGAAGCCAGAAGACAGAGGGCCTGCTGGGGTCCATTCTCACAAGTGACCTCTAGAGACAAAGCAACCCATAGTTCAATGGACCAGTGCTCCCACTCAGTTTACCAGCCAACCATGGCATGGTAGGTATAGAAATTAAAAGACATTGCAAAACTTTATAGTAATTTCACAGATTATTTTTATATCTGAGAAAACTAAACAAAAAATAGGTTATACATTTTAATTGTATTCTATCCAATTTTTGTATTTATTCATTTTTATTGTACTATTATGAGAGATCAGAATTTTTTAATTTAAAAAGAACTTGAAAAAAATAATAAAGCCAGTTGCTTCACCTAATAATGTAGGGAGTACTACGGCTGGTTGTATCATACACCTGGTCTTGGGAATGTGTGAGCAGTAGAGTTGTGGGACAGCAGTGTCTTCATATGTAACCTAAATCCTGCATGAGCAAGACCAACACACTTCATCCCAAATGTAGGATGTGTGTTTAGTCATTTTTACAGGGACTTGGTTAAACTGGGCAGAGATAAGACCCACGGAGTCTCCTCCCCCACCAGTTTCCTCCCCTTCATTGAGCTTCAATGAGAATAAAGCACACAAGACAGGCAATTGCACACTACATTTTTATTATTTCTCTTAGAAAACTCAGGTTTCATTCAGAGCAGAGCCTGAAATGAGGGTGGGGAGGAGGGAAGGTCAGAATGAGGTGGTCAGATTTGAGGTGTGGGAAAAATATTCTCTTCCTGGGTGGATCTTCTCACTTGGTCCCATGTCCATGATGAGCTGCATATGAATCTCAGGTTGTTGACTCTCACCTGACCTAACCCTTGAACTTGCAGACATAGGGTAACTTCTCATAACAGTTATAATCTTTCCATGACAGATATCCTAGAGAGACAGAAGAGTTACAGTGAATGGGGCTGGTGGAGCTTGTGACACAATGGAGAGGCATCCCAGATTCTGGCCTAGGATTCAAAACCCCTCCCTCATCTCCAGGCAAGGTCCCACTTGAAGGGAAGGAGACTCAAAGAAAAGAGAGATAAGAGAAGATGGAAGAAGACAGACCAATATTGCCATTCATGGTTCAGGAGGATTCCCTGAAGTTCACACCCAGAAATGAGGGATGAGGGGATGGAAAGCCTGGCCAGAAGGTGGCTCCTCTGTCCCTTACCTGAGTTTCGTGACAAGCTCCCGCAGTAGCCAGGGTTTGCAATGAGGGCAGGGTCTCTCTCCCAGGCAAAGTAATTCATCACATCATTATTACTCCACTCCCATCCTCCTGCATTGGGCTCATAGCCCTAGAGAGTAGAGAACAGAGCCAGATAAGGGTGAATGGCTATTAGAGTTTTTGCATAATCCTATCTGATGCCCTCCTCAGCAGCATGGAATTCCGTCTGCTATTCCAGATGCTGCCACAGAGCTCACTGCTGGAAAATTCTCCCTAACAACCTGCTCATATTGGCAAATACCAAAGCCAATAAACACAAACAACAATGATACTACCCAGAGTAACACATTACTGGCTAGACAGTAATTGGTACATTTCCGATTACCCTCAGTCTTCAAAGACAATGTCTATTCTATAGGGGAAAATGCATCTTATCTTCATTTAGGTTCCCTCAGCACACTGTGTGTAGACACAGCCAACTCAGAGAACTGAATTACAAGGATTCATAGGTAAGTTGTGTAAAAAGCTTGACAAGACATGCATTAATTTTTACTGCAGTTTAAGGATCCTCCACAAAACTCAGCTTTTCACTTGACCTCAAGGTCCTACTTTACCCCAAATATACCCTAGGATCTCTGAGCTCCAGGGCTCTCTATCATATTTCCCACAGAGGCACAAGGGGCAGGGAGTAGCCTGGGTAACAATAAGAGCTAGAAGGTAACAGATAAGAGATGTTATCTCACCTGTGTGGGATCATGGAGCCCAATCCAGACATATGAGTAGGCGTTCAAGTTGTTCTTGACCAGAGAGGCCAAGAAGGAGGCCTCAGCCCCATTGAGCACAGACACAAGGAATCCTGAGGGTCGCTTCTGGCAGGCCAACTGTGTGGGGAACGAAGACACTGAGGAGGAGCTTGAGATGTCAGTGGGGGAAGCACAGGGCTAACGTAGGTGAGAAGAGGTGTGTGTGCAAAAGATGAGGGTGCTCACTCTCACCCCCAAAACTCTGGAGAATGCAGACCCCTGACTTAGTTAGTGCACTTTCCCTTATCACCTCTAACTATAAATGCAACTACTCACATCTGCTTCATTCCAGGATTTCGGTGTCCTAAAGAAGGCATAGCAGTGGGAGCCAAAGGCATAGGAGCCTTTGGGACAGCTGACCCGTGGAGCAGGAGACTTCTCCTTGGTTTCTTCACCTGGGTAAAGGGAACAAGAAAGAGGGAAGCAGTAAAATAAAGAGTGTAAATGGGTCTAGGGAAGTGACTTTGGGGAGTGCCTGTGAGGCAAGTGCTTGGGGAAATGACACCACACTCCTGACTGCCTCACTGTTGGATTCTTTATTCAGCCTCACTGAATGAAGGACCATCTCTTTTTGTTCTACTCTCCCCCTTTATTCAAAAGTCCAACATCTCCCCCCTCTGAGCTCACTGTTCTCACACTGGGTCTTCCAATCAATCTTGTGCGTATCTCACTACTGACCTTTCATGTTTCTTCTCTTCACCCTGACAATATAAATTAAAGTCCACTGACAAAGTGGAAATTATCCCATTCCATTGCTAATGGACCACCGTGGCACCTTCCACCATGAGTATCTTGAAGAAAGGAGTGATGATGGAGGAATTATAGGCACTTTCACTGTGTGAGGATTCACCTCAGCATTGCCACCTGCGTCACACAGGAGGCTTCCTCTTCTTGGCCCTGAGCTTTCACAGGAACCCAGTGCTAGAGGCAGAGAACTCTCACCTTGCACCTGACATAGGAGCATCAGGCAGGACAGTAGCATCCAGGACACTCTGGGCAGAGCCATGGGAGGCAGCATCATGTCTGTGACTTGGAGAAGCAATCAGAGGTCATTAAAGAAGAGAAGTGTGGTCAGAGAGAGGGCATGCAGAGAGCCCTCTGTTCTCTCTCTTGTCTTTCTTTTGGCTAGTCCCCTAGGAATAAATTGATCTTGGTGACATCTATCCCCTTCTATGAATCTGGAAATAACTGAAGAATCTGCACACCCTCCTACCCTGACACTGATGTTCCTTGAAGACTAGAATCCTCCTATAGCCTTACCCCAAATGTGTGAGGCACCCCCTGCCATGGCTCTCACCTTCTCTCAGTTCCCACTTACCTGTTTTGCAGGTATCTGTGATGGTTGGTCAAGTCAGAAAAGACTAGGCTTTTATAAGAGGATTTGAGGTTAGGGCCCCAAAATCAATAACAGGAATGTGGAGCCCAGATAAGGATAGCGGGAAAGGGCTTGGCATTGGTTCAAGGAGTTTTGTGCCATGGGGAGTGGACTCTTCCTGGCAGTAGCTGGGAATGGCCCCAGCTGAGGTTTCTTTCCTCTTAGCAGGCCAGCACTTTGCCCAGAAACAGATGAAGTTGCTCTTTCTTATGACTGTCCTGTAGCACAATGTGGTATTAAATTTTTAAGGGGGGACATCTACAGGAGTCCTTCTTTTAGTTGATATCTCAAGAACTGACTTCTATAAGCATACATATGTATTTCTTTCTATCTTGTGGAGTAAAGTTAAGCCAGTGATGGACTACAAGGGGAGATGAGTATGACAATTACAAGTGCCAGGGATTGGTGAGGTCATAGAAAGAACTGAGGCTAAGAGCACCAGTGATGGTTTTCAGAGTTTTCTCTTAAACATGGTGGCGAGTTTTAAAGAAAATCATCATTTTTCAGAATCATCTGGCAAATCAACAGATGAGCCAAGACCTAAAGAAAATCAGATGAATAACCTTGCCAGTTGTCTGAGAGGTGGCTTCCCTGATGAATAATGATGGTAGTGAAAGAATAGGAGGCACTGAAGGAATTCAAAACCTCAGAATAAGGATGGTTAAGTGATGCAGAGCCAAAGGAAGAATGCAAAGGGTTAACAAGGAGTCAGAGCAGGAATGGGATAAAACTGGAGACAGGATCTTGTATTGCATTTAAGTTAGGCCTCTACTGCAGCAAGGTACGCACTGCCCTAGGCGGCCAAGGACTTCCTGCAAGACTATCATTTGGCTGTGGATCAATGTCATTTTTATTACATTCTTACTGGAAGGGTTGCCAGGTTCATGTAGGGTTACTGAAAAAAGTTTCTTAGTGAGATTTACTTCTGAGTTGGCAATTTTGGCAACCATGAGAGACATACTGTGTACTTCAAGTTCAGTTTGCCAGCCTGCGAAAATGTTGGTCAGCCCTGCCTCTCATACTATTACAGGCTAGCTTGATGGCAGGCATCTACTATAGGGATTCATAATGGATCATTACATTAAGGTCAAATTGATTTATGTCCTCAGAATCCAAAAATCAGTAGAACCTACAAATAATCTTATAAGCAGTATAGCCAACAGGTCCTTTTGTTAAAAAGAAAAAAATAAATTACTTTACAAAACATACACAAAAATATGTAAATGCCTAACTAAAGGAGAGTTCAGTGGAAATTAAAGTTTAAAATAACATATTATGCAAATATGGTAGTTAAGATGATTTGTGAGTAACCTTGCGACATTAAAATAATTACTTGAAAAGACATGAATAATAATAGTCTTAAATACAGAATGAAGTATGCTCTTGAATTTCTGAAAAATTCAGTGTCATGGAGAGAAAAAACATTTTCAATTAAAAGAAACTAAAGAGATATAAAAACCTAATCTAGTGAATAAATTTTCACTGGATCTTTATTAATAAAATAAGGCATTTCAGGGACAATTGGGAATATAAACATATTTTATAACGCTAGACTTCTAAATTTTCTTTCTTGTGGTAATGGTATTACAGTTAAATGAATTTCCTTATAATTTAATATTTATGGTGAAATATTTAGAAATAAAGTGTTATGATGTCTGCAACTTGCTTTCAAATTATTATTTTTTTAAGTGTGTGTGTGTGTGTGTGTGTGTGTGTGTGTGTGTGTGGAGAGAGAGAGAAAGGGAGAACTAGATCGGCCAAGGACAGAAAAGCAAAGCAAATATTACAAACTGGTAACAATTACTGAATCTAACTGGAAAAAATAAGGGTGTTACTCCTACTATTCTTTCATCCTTTATACAAATAGAAAGTTATAGTTTAACTTACATGTTCCTGATCAAGAATAACACCTATTTCCCATCATTGCCATAAGCTAGAAATAGCATAATAGAGCAATAATATTTATGTACTATCATATATACATATACACATTAAAAAGACATTTTAAGAATTCAAATAAAATATCAAAATATTATAAATAAATAAAATATCTGAAATGTTTCACAGGCTACCTGATTTTTGCCTATGTAAAAACTAAATAAATATAGACAAGGAAATTAATATTAAATAAGCCAGTCAAAGAAAGACAAAAATCACATGACCTCACTTATAAGTGGAATCTAATGAACATAATAACCTGGCTAACAAAATAGGTCCAGAAGAGTGGATGCATGGAACAGAATGACACATCTCTGCAGGGTGAGGGAGGGTAGGGGGATGAGATGAGATTAACCAAAGAACTTATATGCATATATGCATTGCCCCAGGACACAGACAATAGTGCAATGAAGGCCTGGGGGGTGGGCGGCAGGAGAGGGAGGCTAAGGGGGAGAAATTGGAGGACAGCTATAATATTGTCAAAAATAAAATAAAATGAAATAAAATAATAGTGAAAACAATAATAATCAATGTTCAAATATCAATATTTTGTGTTCAACCAGAAAAAAAAATCATGCCTTCAGAGTTTAATTTTTTGACCAATTTTTTGAAAGACTCCACCCTTCAAAACAGAGCTTAACCATTTTTGAGTATGGAAACGTCTGAGTCGCTCACTTGTCTGGGAGAAGCAGGATGAAAGGTGGCTCTCCATAATCTCGTACTTTCCAAGCTGCCCTTGGCTTACTCTCCTCCCAAACTGTCCTCATTACCATGTAGAAGATAGTTAAGAACAGATCCCCCCATGAGGAATTATTAAAACTCACTTTTATTTTATTTTTACTTGAAACAGTGTGATTTTTATAATAACCCTTAAGGTTATAATATCCCTAACCACAATGTAAGACATTCGTTTCACACAAAAACTCACTAAGATGTAGTTATTTTTGTTTTATTTGTAACTGTTCTTCCTAACACTTCTATTGACCAAGCACTGAGGAATTTGCTCAAATACTATATTTACAAAGTTGCTTATAGACCATTTACAGTCCCCTTCTTGGTGTAAAAGAGGAGTGTTTACTCAGAGTAACCGAGGCTAGGCTGCAAGAAGCTTCTTTTGCCCAAAGATAAAATGTGCAATTTGTACATTGTAGTCCACCTTATCTTCCAAGTCCAGCAATATTAATATTTGCAGATAAGGCTCAGTATGGTTATTCCTAGAATTAGCACAATCAGGAAAGGAACGCTTTGGGAAATCCAGTACATTTTTTCCAAGATGGGCAAAACTTGAAGAGTTCCTGGAAGATGGCTCAGCAGAGCCCAGCTCAAAAGTAGCCTTGAAACATATTTTATTGGAGACTTATCACTAAAGTGCACCCCTTTGGGGTATATTAACCAAATTTCCAGGATGCTACTTTAGTCCTTTGGTCTTATCTGAAGTTTATCAGAAGAAATGGGAAAGGGGTAATAAAATGAGGCCCCATATACTTTGTGAAACAAGGCCGACGGGCAAAAACCTCAAAGTCCCTGAAGCGAATAAGGGAAATTACCAAAGCACTGGAAAGCTAATTCCATAATTGCGGGACTTTGTTTAGCCACATGTAAGTAATGAACAGTAATTACCTTGTGATCTGTGCAGTTATTGGGGCAATAAATTTGTATAAGGAAACTGTCCGTTTTTATTTGGTTTCAATGTCTCACGTTGGTCTTGGAACAGTTCCCTGTTGCATATCACATTAGTTCTTCTAATATATCTGTTGTGTGTTCTATAAAAGCTATTGACTGTTGTTTATTTTTCTTTTAGGATAAGCTAGTCATAATCCAATGATTGCCCGATAAGTAATCATAATCCAATGATTACCATCAATTATATTTATTTGTTGGTGGTAACTCTGCAGATCTGAACTGCATTTCCACCATTCACATTTCCTTTGGCAACAAATAAAATTAAAAATAAATACTTTTATTAAATATTTTTAATAAAATTAAAAATAAAAACAGTCATGTTTTCTTTTTTATGAAAAAATTATTTTTATGATACAGAAAATATTTAAGAAACGTATCTTACCATCTTTCTTCACCTTTTCATTTTTTAAGAAATAAAGAAGCTGCCCAACCAGTTGGCTCTGTTGGTTGGAGTGTCATCCCATACACCAAAAAGGTTGCGGCCGGGGCACATATATAGGTTGCAGGTTCAGTTCCCGGTTGGGGTGCTTATCAGGAGGCAACTGATTGATGTTTCTCTCTCACATTAATATTTCTCTTTTTCTTACCCTTCCTCTCTCTCTAAAATCAATAAACATATCCTTGGGTAAGGATTTTTTTAAAAAAAGACATAAAGAAGCAAAATGAAATAATAAAGAAATAATACAATAATAGTTTATTTATATCATTTCTCAGTCCCATTTCTCTTATTACCTTCCCATTATGAATTTTCTAGTCATTTTTCCAATTTAGATTTTTAATAATTTATTATATTAAATACATGTATCATATTTTATGTAACATTCTGGAATTTTTGTTCATTTTATCTTAGGTTTGAAAAATCGACCTACTTTGAGATAAATCATTCTTCTTTATTGATTTTAACTTCAGTGTATTATTAATCCATATAAATATTTCAGAACTATATATTCATTCCTTTACTGGTGAAAATTTACCATATTTTGTTGATTTTACAATGTGTAATATGTAATATTTTAAAATCTCTGAAATTCAAATACAGTGCTAATGATCACAAGCATGGTTTTCATCTTCTCTGTGTAGGACAAGGGTCAGCAAACTTCTTCTGTAAAGGGTTTTACAGTAAATAGTTTGGGCTCTGTAGACAATACCATGTTGGTCATAACTACTCAGCTCTGCCATTGCAGCATAAAAGTAGCCAAAGACAACATATAAATGAATGTACATGTCTGTGTGCCAGTCAAACATTCATTATGGACACTAAAATTTTAATTTCATATTATTTTTATGTATCACAAAATATTCTTTTGTTTTCTAACTTTTAAAAAATGAATAAAATTATTTTTATCTCATGGGCCATATAAAAACAAGCAACGTGCCAGGTACTGCCCACTGACTATAATTTGCTGACAGTTAGTAGATAGAAAATGAAATGTCATGCCCTCCTTTATAACATCTGTCAATTCCCCTAGATTTTACCCCCTTACCCCTTCCACTTAACCCTGTCATATCCTGATTCCCCAGGATTCCCCTTCCCTTCTGTTAATTTTCTTATTCCCCTCTTATGACACCTACTAATTCTTCCCCAGTATCTCCCCACATTCTCCTGTCTTAGGACACGTGATGATTCTCCAGTATTGTCACGAGCTTCTAAGAGCCAAAAAGCTCAACAATGTACGTGTCTCTCGACTTCACTTTGCCCCTGTGGATGCTTTTGGTCTCTCTCTGCTGCTGCTTAGGACAGGACTGCAAACTGGACCTGGAACAAAGGATCTCATCTGGGCTCGGCCCCTGCATCTGGACAAAGCCCACCCTTCAAGTGAAGGCATGTGTTTGCACGGCTGAAAATCTACAAACTATAAAAGGATAAATTAATAATATATTTTACATGCAAACAATACACTTCTTTCGTGTAAAATATTTAACAAAATAAAGTCAAAAGCTCACATGTTCTACAGGATGATGGGCAAACCAGTGCTACCTAATGAAACATTCTGGCTCCGTCACTGACTTGGCCAGAATGCAGACGTGTCCTGTCTTGAAGTTTAACCGCACGGGGTAGGCTGTCAATAAACAAGGGCGAAAAGCGTGAATGAACCAGCACCGAGGAGCGAAGGTGCTCAGGGTAGGAAGGAGCCCAGGGGCCGGGCCCGCCAGGGGCACTGCAGCCGCCAACGCGCCCCGTCGGCCCC